AGCAAGCTTGGGATGGTTGGAAGAGTGGCAAAAAGATCACAGAAGAAGGAAGAAGCCAGATCACATAGGACCTTGTAGGCCATGGTTAGAATTTTGGATTTTATTCCAAGCATGAAAGGAAGTCTTTGAAAGGTTTTTTTTTTTTTTTTTAAAGATGACTGGTAAGGGGATCTTAACCCTTGACTTGGTGTTGTCAGCACCACGCTCACCCAGTGAGCCAACCGGCCATCCCTATATGGGATCCGAACCCGGGGCCTTGGTGTTATCAGCACCGCACTCTCCCGAGTGAGCCACGGGCCGGCCCCTGAAAGGTTTTAAGTAGGGAATAATGTGATCTGGCTTACATTTTCACTCTGCTATAGAGAAAAATGATTTAATGATGCAATAAGGAAGCAAGGAGACCAATTAGGAAGCTCTATTACAGTAACCTAGTAGGTCACAGTGGTTAGGACCCAGATGGTAACAGAAAAGATGGAGAAAAGCAGCAGATTCAGGACATAATGTGAAATATAACCAAAAGAATTTTCTGACAAGTGAATGGTACTAGTGGTGGGGGGATGAAGGAGGTAATACGTAACCAAGGATAACTACAAGGTCGTGGCTTGTTCAAACATTTATAGCCTTGGGGACAACCAAGAGAAGTCCCAGTTTTATTGAGAGAGATCAAGATTTTGATTTTGGATGAATAAATTTTGCCTAGACTCAAGTCTTCCTAGATTCCTCATTTCCCTTACTTCCTGCATCCAACCAGTCCTGAAATCTAAAAATTCGAACTCTAAATACCTAATCTCTTACCAAATCTATCCTGGCAAAAACTTCTCAGCACTGCCTCTGTCCTGAATCAATCCTCTCTTGCCTTGACTTTTACAACAGACTATCGTCGCTATGAATAAACTAACAAAAGGCACTTAATAGAAGTGTCTTACCTCTACCTCCCACCATCCATCTTTGAAGGCAGAAACCATGTCTTATTCATATTTATCTCCAGTGTCTGGTGCTGCGCTGGGCATAGAGTAGTCACTCAAATATCTGATGAACTGAAGACATCACCTCAAACAAGGATATAATCTCCTGGAAGAGAGGAGCCCCATTTTGGGATTCTATGATTCCTCCACACAACTCAAAGCAGAACCAGATACAAAGTGTATGATCAAATCCCAGAAAACTTTGCTTTCCCAAGGAATGTGTGTGTTTCTTTATAATTTGGTATAAAACCATACTGTTTGATTCCGACTTTTACCAGGCAATTAATGACATTGGACAATATTACTACTCTTTTCCACTTTTCTTTCAAATCCAAGGACTTTATACTCTTAGCCTCACAACATCTTTGCAAGGAGGACACAGAGATGATTATTCTCCATGTTTTAAACAAGAAAACTGAGGCCCAGAATAAAATCCCTGAATTACTTTTTGATGGGATTAGGAGCCTTGCTTAGATTAAGACTAGCCTTCTCCTGATCCCATAGCAGTTCTGGAATTGGAAGATGTCCCAATCTCCAACTCCTGCAAAACTACTGCTTAGTATTCATGTATTCCCTAGGTTTTGTCCACATTTACAAACTTCTTTGGGATGTCAGGGTGTGTTGCCATAAGGTCAAAGACCACGTTCTCTCCTCTCTACCACTCTCCTTGGTGCTGGGTGAAGATAGATTCCACCCTTTGGGCCCAATTCATGTATTCCCTAGGTTTTGTCCACATTTACAAACTTCTTTGGGATGTCAGGGTGTGTTGCCATAAGGTCAAAGACCATGTTCTCTCCTCTCTACCACTCTCCTTGGTGCTGGGTGAAGATAGATTCCACCCTTTGGGCCCAGGAGAAAAAGAAGCCCCTTGATCATCAGTCCAGGAGGAGTCACAACCAGAAAGAAAAGAGAGAGAAATCTAAGCAGGCAAGAATAGTTTCGATAGAAAAAAGAGGAGGGGGCATCAACAAGAAAATCAGGAGACTCCTTTCAAAACGTTCCCAGCTGGGGAGTACACAGGAAGAAAAGGGGCAACAATGGCAGGAACAGGTGGCTAGATCCCTCCTGCCGCACCCTCCCCGAGTCATTTCTTCAGGGCACCCAGGCTCTTCAGGGCCTCCTGGGCCTCGGTCAGCTGCTGCTGCAGCCTCTGACGGGTGCTCTCGTTGGAGGCCCGCTTCAGGAGGCCCTGCATTTCCTCCACCACTGCCCGGCGGCCAGGGGTGTTGTGGAAGAGCCGCACTGCCCGGTCCCCACAGGAGGCCAGAAACCGGCCGGTGATGTCAAAGGACAAGTCAGTGATACACTCCCCATGGACCTGCTCAAAGCACTCTTCCTTCTCACCCCGCCGGGTGTTGTAGAGATGAATACTGCTGCCACTGGCTAAGGCCAAGACCTGGGCATCAGGGGAGAGTGCCAGGCGGCACAGCATGGTGCCTGCCTCCTCGAAGCGGCCTGTCCTCAACAAGTAGGGGTCCTGCTGCTTCTTGTATTCCACATCTGTGTCCCAAAGTTTCCACGTACCATCCTTGGAGACAGAAGCCATCCTGCAGCATGGAAAATCACAGCTCAAGCCCCAGCACACCCTGGCAGAGAGGGCAGCCTAAGGGGCTCCAGCTAGGAAGCCAAGTCTACTTCCTGCTGCCAGCCAGGCACCCCACCCACTTCTGAGCTGTGTCAGAGACAGGCAGAAGGACCCTGGTTGCCACGAGGCATCAAGAGTCACTGGTAAGACATCAGAGCAGATTCACTCACCTCCGAGAGTCATTGGAGAAAGCAAAGGAGTGGACAGCTGCAGAGTGGCCCTTCAGTTCAAAGGCTCGCACAACCTCCTGAAAGTCCCCCTTCTTCCCAAAGCAGACTTCCCAAACTTTCACATCCGGGGTAAAGCCACATGAGGCCACAAATCTGCCATACAACCCAGGTTCCTTTAAAACTTAATTTTAACAGCATACTGTTCCTACAAACCCCCTAAATCTCTTTCCTGAGAAAGTTAATAATCTCACATTTAAATAACACCATACTGGGCCAGCCCATGGCTCACTCGGGAGAGTGCGGTGCTGATAACACCAAGGCCATGGGTTCAGATCCTATATAGGGATGGCTGGTTCGCTCACTGGCTGGGCGTGGTGCTGACAACACCAAGCCAAGAGTTAAGATCCCCTCACCAGTCATTTTTATAGAAAAATTTCCAAAAAATTAAAATAAATAAATAAATAACACCATACTATATAACACCAAGGTCAAGGATTTGGATCCCCATACCAACCAGCCACCAAAAATAAAAAGTAAAAACACTGTACCTCTTAAAAGTGATTTTATGCATGTGACCTCAGATTGCCCTCATAGTCTTGCACTAAGATACGTAGTAGCACCCCCACCTTTTAAAAATTATATATGAAGGAAGAGAGACTAAGGACTTGAGGTGACTTGCATGAAATCCCATAAGAAGGCGAGGGGGAGCTTGAATCTAGGTCTGATTCCTCCCTGCATTCCCTTCTCACTCTGTGAAGCTAGCTCTCTGTCTGGGCCCACTCTCTAACCCCAACCTCTCACCATCCCAGAAGCCAAAGCCCCTCCTTCCTCACCTGCTACAAGGGGATATAGCAGCATATGTATTGTTCATCTGGTTGGTGTTGATGGTAGACAGAACCTGACCTTTCAGATTCCAGATAAGGACAGTCGTGTCACTGGAGGCCGTCATGATGAACTTCCCTGAGCAGGAAGGGAGTAACATGAGCTGAGGGCAACGACCTGGCCAACTGTCACTCTCCAGAGACACTTACAGGCACATGCTGCTGCCCAAAGTATCCAAGCTTCCCTCCCAGGCCAAGGATCACCACAGTTAAGGACTTTGCCGAAGACTGTGGCTCTTACCTGCCTCCCCTGGGAATCTGCTGTGGCTCCCAGGACTACAGGGGAGCACAGAGCCAGGCTGTTTAGAGCCAGAGCTCCTTTGTCACACTTGGGCTGAGCAAAATTCTCAGGCAGCATTAACTCATTCAGCAAATATAAATGGGGTTATTTCTTCATGCCTTGGGCAAACTCCACCCTCTGAATGCCTCTTACCTGTGTCAGCAATGCCAATGTTGATAACAGATGCCTTGTGCTTTTTAGGAAAGTCCTCTGGGGTGGCTGTGAAGGTATAGCCCCCATCTTCTCGCTTGGTCATCTTAAAGACGCGGAGTGTTTCCCCATTGGCCAGCCAGATGATGAAGGCTCTAGAGACAGGAACAGACAAGTCACTCCCTCATTTGGACACAGACGTCTATGTGTTCCAGGTCCCATGCTGGGTTCTGGAGAAAATGAAGATCTTCCCTCATGCCTTATTGTAAATCTTACTCCACTGGTTCAAAATCTCTTAAAATTCCTTGAAAGTTTTAGGATTCTCATAGCTTTTGCTCCTTTAGTTTCTCTCTAGGGTTTAGAAAACCACGACAGTGTCAAGACTCTTCTGGAATACAGGCTTTGGTACTTCCGGGGTAGGAAGAGATCTTCCCCTCTCTACTTCTTGTTGTGTAACAACATAGCCCTCCAGGGAGTCCAGGCAGTGCTCAAACTATCTGGATGCTCTCTGGGAACCAAAGGAAGACCATGGGTCCCTCCTCACTACCCTAAACCAGCTATGGGAAGGCCATAAGTCTGGGGCTGGGCCTCTGCAGTAAACCTGAGGCTCCATCCTGTCCCACCTGCAGTCAGGGCTGAAGCGCACCAAGGTGGCGTGGTCCAGCTCCACATTGGCTCTCATGCTGCGGTGCTCCCGCTGCAGGAAGTCTTTGGTGCTCCAGATGCGGACAGTGCGATCATCTGCACAGGTAGCCAGGTACTTCCCATTGCTGCTAAAGTCCATGCACGATATGTTCCCGCTGTGGCTCTAGAGGAAGGGTTGCAAGAAATGTGAACAGGAACTCCTCAGGCAGATGGGGAAGCCAAACCTGTAGCCATGACTCTGGGGCCCTGTTACCTAGAATAACAGCAAGCTGAGGATGGGCTGGGATGAGAAAGGATAGGATGGGGCATCACCACTGATTCTGATTAGAGGCAGAGGGGTCTGTAACCTGCACAGAATACTACAAAGAAAAAGCCTGCAGGGTGTGAGTTTCTGTATATGTGTACCCATGTACCTTCAGTGCTGCAGCCAGGAGACGGTGGGTGAAGTTGTGTTGTTGAGGCTTCTCCTTGTGAATCCGTTGATGCTGTTTCTGCTTCTTGGATCCCGAGGATTTGTCAAGTTGAAATCCATTTGCTTTTTGGTCTATAAGGAAGGGCCATGTCACTCACCCATTCAATATGCATTTACTGACCACTCTGATTGGCCAGGCATTCAATGGTACCGTAACTGATGATAAACCAAATATAGTCCTGGTCCTCGAAAATAGAGTCTGATATGGAATCAGATCTAGGTTTGGATTCTGTCTCTACCACTGAGTGATCTTGAGGAGGCTGTCTACTGCTAGTCCAACCGTAACTGATGATAAACCAAATATAGTCCTGGTCCTCGAAAAGAGAGTCTGATATGGAATCAGAACTAGGTTTGGATTCTGTCTCTACCACTGAGTGATCTTGAGGAGGCTGTCTACTGCTAGTCCATAGAGTACCTCAAACCAAATTAGAAAAGGCACATTATCTGAGCTGACACAGCTGCATGGGTACACAGCACGGTGGAGTATGGCTCCTTGGCCAGACACCCCTACATAGGAAATAATGTGCACAACTGTATTTAGTGACTCTGGTCTTGGGTAAGATATTTAATTGCTCCGGGCCTCAGTTTCCTTAAAAAGAGATCAAGAGACCTGGATAATATACACAAGTGACAAGCAGACTACCCAACGCAAGCATTAAAGGCTTGAAGGAGTCACAGAAAAAAATTAAGGGATGATAGGAAGTCAATATGAGCTGAGAATCTACCCTGCACCAAGAATGGTGCCACTTGCTTTTGCATAAAATACCTTATTTGAGAATCAGGCTAGGCACAAGGATGGCATGTATTAGATGGCTACAGACGCTCCCCAGTTCCTACAAGAAAATAACTCTTGAGCCCTGCATACAAAAATGGCCACAATCTGGCCTCTGCTTACCTCCTGACCTTGTCTAACAAGCTCCCTCCTCACACTTGAATCATACCAAATGCTGTTCGAGGACTCCTTGTCTTCATGTATATTGTCACTGGCGGGAATGTGTTTCTTCCCTGGCCTCCCAGCAAACTCTTCTCACACAACTATCCTTCAAGACCCCATACCACTTCATGTGTTCTCTGCTTTCAGTGCAGACAGACCCCCCCAAAATCACAGCTGACCATTCTCTCTTGTGTTTCCTGTTTCTAGTACTGACCTCTTCAATAAAACTAATTACACTCTATTTTTCACTTACATTTTTAGATTTTCATAATTCCTTGCTCTACATTTTAGATGTACAAATGGTCCCCAACTTAGAAAGGTTGGACTGAGATTTTTCAATTTTACGATGGGTTTATCCGGCGGCAACCCCATCGTAAGCCGAGAAGCACATGTACTTCTTTACCGGACTCCTGAAAGGCAAAGACCCCAAAGCCTGTAGCAGGGTAACAAGTACTCAATAAACGTTGCTGCACGTCGCAGAACCAGCCCGAGACTTCTTGCAAATGAATGCCTGCCCCCCATTTTCTAAAATCACAAAAACGTAGCAGCTTAAGAGTTTAAGGCATTCTCACAGCAGCCCCGGGGAGCAGCTGGGGCTCAGAGAGAAAGCGGCTTGGCCTCGGCCACCGAGAAAGCCGCAGCACGGGACCCAGGTTCTAACTACTCCTGCTCAAGGGGTGCGACCAGCGCGGCGAGGCGGCAGGTCGTCTCTGGAAGCGAAACTCACTTCACAAGAGGAGAAACTGAGGCCCCCGGCACCTCCTCCGCGGGCCCACACTGCAGGTCGGTCCACGCGGAAGGCCGAGAGCAAAGTCCCTGCGGGTCACCCCTACGCGCCGCGGCCCCACTTACGGGAGGGCCGGCCACACCTCTCCTCCGCGCGCAGCCACCCCCGCGCTACCGCCGCCGTCGCCATGAGGGCCAGCAGCCCGAGCAACAGCGACAGTCCCATCAACTCCGGCATCTGCGGCAGCTCCATGTTGGCGTAGCCGTTGCCACCTCAGCTCCAGACTACGCGGGCGCCCGCACGTCTCCGTCGCGCGGCGCACGCACGCGGGGGCGGATCCGGCCGTTGGAGCGTCCAGAGGGGCGGGGCGGGGCCTGGCCGTTGGGGCGTTTCGAGGGGCGGGGCCTGCCTGTTGGGGCTTCTCGAGGAGCGGGGCCTGGCCGTTAGTGGGGCTCTTGAGGCCATGTTGACGCCGGGGCTTGGGTGCGAGAACCGCAGTTATAGCGCCTCCCTTTGAACTGATAATCGTTTATTATTTTTATTTTTTTATTTTTTTATTTTTTAAAAAGATGACCGGTAAGGGGATATTAACCCTTGACTTGGTGTTGTCAGCACCACGCTCACCCAGTGAGCTAACCGGCCATCCCTATATGGGATCCGAACCCGGGGCCTTGGTGTTATCAGCACCGCACTCTCCCGAGTGAGCCACGGGCCGGCCCTGATAATCGTTTATTAAAGACGTGTGCCAGCCATCGCCGCACTGGATCGTTTCAACGAGGCGGGGCGAGGATTATTATTCCCATATAACCGGTGGGAAAGTAGTCTTAGCATCAGGGGAAATTCAGATAGGCTTCTACTGTTAAGGGGAAGGGAGAAGTAGCCCAGGCATTGGAGGGCGGGTCAGCCTCAGCACAGACCTGCGAGGCGGGGACGTCGTGGGGAGGCCGGGCATGAGCATGACAGAAAGAAATGGCAGGTAAGCTCGGAAAGGTCTGGAGGGCCTTGCGCGCTGATTTGATGCAACAAGCTGTTTATATTACGGGGCGAGATGGGGCAAAATCGATGTCTCGGGATCCTCTGGGTGGAACGCTTTGTGAAAAGACGAAGGACAGACAGAAAACCGGAAGTGGTTGCAAGGATCCGAGAGGGAGGTGATAAGGGCCTGGACTTCGGGGTGGCCTGGGGAGTAGAAAAGGAGATTGGGGGAGGGCGCAGCTGGCTGGTATGGGGATTCGAATGCAAAAGAGATTTTTAACAAAAAACTTATTTTGAAATAATTATGGGTTCGCAGGGGGTCTACAGACCTTTCACTCAGTTTCCCCCAATGGTAATATCTTGCATAACTATAATGTAATATCAAAACCAGGAACTCAGACATTGATACAGTCTAAAGAGCTTATTCAGACTTCACCAAAAAGGAGATATCCTGAAAGACTAATTGGTAGAATTTTTTCTTAAGATGACCGGTAAGGGGATCTTAGCCCTTGACTTGGTGGTGTCAGCACCATGCTCACCCAGTGAGCCAACCGGCCATCCCTATACGGGATCCAAACCTGTGGCCTTGGTGTTAGCAGCACCACACTCTCCCGAGTGAGCCACGGGCCGGCCCCGAATATTTTTCTTTTTTTTACTTTTTGTCAGCTGGCCAGTATGGGGATCTGAACCCTCAGCCCTTGGTGTTATCAACACCGTGCTCTGAGTGAGCTAACCAGCCAGCCCTCTAATTGATAGAATTTGGATTAGACCTGCTTGGTTGAAGAGGGAACGTTCCCAGACCAGGTGTGCTCCATGGGCTTCCCAGCCCTACAGCCTGGAGTAAGTCAAAGTACCAGGACTGACGGGGGGAGCCTGCCTCTCCTGACGGTCCAGGCCTTCAAACCCTTAAAAGGACCCTCTGAGGAAGAGAGAGGCTGCTGCAAAGACTAGCTGGCAGACAGACACACCCGCAATCTCGGGTGAGGAAACAGATCTAGTCAGAGAGAGCAAATGGAGCGGCCTCATTTCCTTCCTTTTTGTCCTCTGTGGGGAACTGGCATTGATTGACTCAGCTGTGGGCAGTGGGGTGGGGAGAGCCAGGAGCGGGTGTCCGGAGCATCCTGAGGCTTTTCCTCTCTAAGTTGCTACTTAGAACTAACTAGGCTAGGTCCAGCCATGAACCACTTTCTACACCGTCTAGAGACAAAGCTGTACTTTTAAGAAGAATTTCATTCACCATGCATTTTGCATGTGACATTTATTGATCCAGGAGCTTTGAATTTCATTTAATCTTCTCACATCCCCACCCCACAGATTAGGACACTAATGCTCTAGGAAGTTAAGTAACTTTCCCAGGTTTGCCCAGGTGGAGAGTGAACCTGGGGACAAACGCAATCTGACTGCAATCTATGGATGTGGGGCAAAGAGAAGCAAGAACAGTCACTCTTCGTATAGCTCAGTCTAGGCTGCAAAATTCTTTCACATCCATGAGTTCAATTGCTCTTTAGGGTGGCCTTTAAGACAGGTGATGTTACAAAATAATTTTTAGACAGATGGGGAAAAAATAAAAACTAGGCTCAGGTCAAGTAGCTTGCCCAAGGTCAACAAGGAAGCAAGGCAGAGAACTCGAGTCAAATCTAGGTCTATTATACTCCAAGATCCGTACTCCTCCCACCTCAACACTCTGGCTATGGTATGGCCTTGTTCTTGCCCTCAAATGTCATATAGCCCAGTTGGAAGCCAAGACGTGGCAGGACAACTAATGACACAAAGCAGGATTCAGGAAAGCTGCGCAGATCAGGGAGGGCGATATTCCAATGGATCTCGAGGGGCAGTGAGACTTGGCTGTAGCTTTGGGGGTGGGAATTTAGACAGATGCAGCAGAGGGTGGGAGGGAGCTCTAGACGGAAAGCAAGGCATGAGTAAAGGTGTGGATGTAGAAGTAACTTATTCCTGCACAGAACAGAGTGACTGACCACACCAGCCCATCTGGGTGAGTGTTGCACATGGTGCCCAAGGAATGGATGCAGTGGGAGGCGTAGGCCCACCTCCCTTGTGGGTTGATCATGCCTTGCAAGGACAGAGCAGAAGGATGCATCCCAGGAATGATGGGAGATTCAGAACCCCTTGGAATGGGGGGGGGGGCTATGGGCAGGAATGAGGCTGGAGGAGTAGCAGGGCCCACTCACAAAGCACCTGGAACATGTGCTCAGAAGCCTGTTCTCATCAGAGGCAAGCAAGAGCCAAAGAAGCAGCTGAAGCACATGAGCTCCAACCTGCACCTCTGGAGCCCTCCCTCTATCTGGCCTCTCTGTGGTAGGTGAGATGATCAGTTTCCTTACTGCTTAAGCAGTGGTCCTCAAAGTATATTCCTGGATCAGCATCATTAGGAATGCAGATTCTTAGACTCCATTCCAGAACTGCGACTCAGAAACTCTGGAGGTATGGCCCAGCAATCCATATTTTAACAAGACCTGTAGTTAATTCTGGCACACTAAAGTTTAGGAACCACCGATTTTAACTAACTTGAGCCCCAAGTGTGTTATTTGCAGCTCAAAGCCTCTGTTACAGTGGTTCTTTACCTTGGCTTCATATTGGAATCACCTTAAAATATGCTGATGTCTAAACATCATACCCAGGGATTTAAGTGGTCCAGGTAGGGCCTGGTCATGAAGAATTTTTAAAGCCCCCAAGTTATTCAGATGCACATTTAAGTTTGAGAAGCAGCTGAAGGGCTAGGAGAATACGTAAAGGGTGATGTTCTATTGATGGTAGCTGTGGAGGTGGATGCTTAGGTCAGCTGGCCAGGCCTCCAGAATAGCTAGCACAGGGCAGCAGGGTGTGGGGAGGAACTGGAGATGACCGCTTCTAGCTTGCACGAGCATCTGGATGGTGGTGTCCATCCTGAGAATGGGGAGCACAGAGAGAAGAATAGCTAGCACAGGGCAGCAGGGTGTGGGGAGGAACTGGAGATGACCACTTCTAGCTTGCACGAGCATCTGGATGGTGGTGTCCATCCTGAGAATGGGGAGCACAGAGAGGACTAGGTTTGAAGGGGAAGATTGTGGAAATGAGTTCTGTTTTGGCTGCATCAAGGTGAAGGGAGCCACAGATCAATGAGAAGAGAAAGGGTGGCAGGGATATGTGGTTGTGTAGCTCTGGAGGGAGAGCAAGGCGGATACAGAGTAGGGGGTCCTCATCAGGGTGGCAGGGGATATGTGGTTGTGTAGCTCTGGAGGGAGAGCAAGGCGGATACAGAGTAGGGGGTCCTCAGCAGAGAGGCTGAAGGGGGGATGGCATGGCCTGGGGCCAGCCACACAGCGAGAGGGGAAGTGGGCCAAGGAAAAGGCTCCCACAGCAGGAACTGAGAAGGCACCGTCAGGGAGGAGGAAGGAGAGCCTGCCAAGAATTCTGGGTTCCCAAGGAAAGAGGGCCCAGGAAGGCCAGTAGAGCACTGCAAAGCAGGCATCTCTCTGCTCCCACCTATTCTCAACACCGCCCAGCGGGGTCCTGTGAAGTGACATCTCATCTTGTCCTACCTCCACTCAAAACCATCCAGTGGCTTCCAGCTCAGAGTAAAAGCCGTGGCCCGCAAAGCCCTCTGTAGAAGTTCTCCTCCCACTGCCAACCGGCTCTCTCTCCATCCCAGAGTGAGACATGTTGACAAACACACCACGAACCAGAAGATAGTTTTTGCTTTTATTGGTCAAGCTTTTTTTTTTTTTTTTCCTTTTTTGTCTTTTTTCGTGTCCGGCAACGGATCGCAACCCTCAGTGTCGCGCCCGTACCGGACCGGGACCGGCAACGGGATCGCAACCCTCGGTGTTGCTCCCACACCTCGCTCAGCCAGTGAGCGGGAACCGGTCTGTATGTGGGATCCGAACCCTCAGCGGGAGCGCCGCCGCACTTCCCAAGCGGTGCACTGTAGCAGTGCGCCACCGGGCCGGCCCTGGTCAAAAATTCTTTACAAAATACGCACACGTCCATAGACACACACATCCACACACACACATGCATCCACACAAACACACAAGATGCCTGCCCTGCTTTGGCCACCCCCTGCCCTGGTCTCTCTTGGGCTCAGACCTTCATGGCCTCACCTAGGAGAAGCCATCCTGTGGCCCAGTAAAAGATCAGTGAAAGATCAGAGAGGGAACCTCCTTTTCTGCTTCTCTGTTCAGAACAGAGGTCTGTGCCCCACCTGTGGGGGAGCAGGTGTGAGTGATGGAGAAACAGGATCGTCCTCTTCCTTCAAGCTCCCGGAGTTGCCAGCTTAGGCCCCCAGTGTCACAGCTGAT